TAAGTCCCACTATATAAAAGACATGCATCATGTTCTATTGGTGAAGAGTGTCACTTGGTAGGTCCTAGGAAGTGTGTCTTCTCCTTCTTGGTGCTTATCTTGTAAAACAACCTCCTTTCTGAGATATTGAGAGCCCTGACTCTGCTAACCTTCTGGAGGGTCACAAAGACCTGCCTTTTTTCCAGGTCCTGAGGCCAGGATGTTGATGGCATTCTGATGTGGAGGTGGGGATCCATGGACTTGGTATATTAGCATTTAGAATTTATGGGGAGGGCTGTACTAGTTTTCTTGCATTTTGATTTTATCTTTGTTTACCTCCCAGAATTCTTATGGTAGATGGGCAGCTGTATGCGTTTGTTTAACAAGTAAACTGCAATGAAAATAAATACATACTTGTTGGTTACCTTGTATTTAAATAAAAGCAAGAATGCTAGAATATTGCCAGTCCCCACCCCCACCCCCCACCCCCCCCAAAAAACACCACGGATATTCCCTTATCTTTTTGGAATAATATCTTTATTCATTTGTTTTCATTAAATTAGAGGAGAACTAATGTAGGATACATTTTCCACATGGCTGAGAAGGGTTGTTTGCCTGAAATCATTAAAAGTCAGAGCCAATTAAGGCTGATAGAGTTGAGCTAGATGAATTCTGGAATAATATTAATGTTTGGTCTGAAAAGACAGAGCATTGCCTTTAACTAAAGGCTATTCAAACAGAAAGGTAATCACATTCTCCTGACCTGATTCTCCATGAAAATCATTTGATGACATATAAAGCAAGTTTTTGTGGCTAGAAAGGAAACTATTATTTTCTACTACATTATTATTTCTTCTGAGCAAATAGAAGTGCTGCCTGGTTTACAGAAGTCCCGAGTAAAATGTCTTCTCTGGTCTTCCCATATTCTCCCAATTCCCTCCTCTTGATACCTACTCTCTTATGCTCATTCCTCATCCCCAATGCCAGACAGACCATTGATTTCATTTCTTTCCCTCTTGCTGTTGATTTATAAAAGTGTCTGGATGTGCTGTAGGCCCTTTGTCCTGTCAGAGAGTCTCTTGGGGAGATGAGGTGGTGGTCTTCAGAACAGGACTTCTGGTGTTAATTTGAAAAAAAAAAAAAACCAGTCAGCTGTATAAATCATAAAATGGTGGGGCTCGGAGTTTGTAGTACTATTGTGAGAAGGATATTGCAATTTTATTTTTATGACTAAGATTTGCTAGAAGGCTTTATTTTTTATGCGGATGATTCCTGTCAGCCTTGTACCCAACATTTGATGCCTCTTCTTTCCTCTTCTAAGAGCTTCTTCATATTTCATAAGGGACATTTTTAATGTCTTCCACTCACACTTCTGCATGTGGCAGGAGTTCAAACTGAATCCATCCCTGGGGACGTAACTCGAAGGAGAGAGATGGCTTTCAACATGTCTACCCTCTTGTTTTCAGATCGGGTCTGCTTTCCTCTTTGGCTGTGCTGGAGCTAACCCATGGGCAATCTGTGACAAAGCTATAACGATACCTTCCAGCTCTTTCAAGGTCACAGGCTGTAACTGAAATGGAGAAATGACAGGCAGAGAGGTGGGGGCACAGAACAATGGTACGCCCTTCTTTAATAAAAGGGCCTCTTAAACAAAATAGATCTTCTGTCTTCATCGGGTGACAATCTTTTTTTCTTTTTTCTTTAGTATTTATAAAGTTCATTATCAGTCAGCCTGATGTGGAGAATAAAGGCTGCCTTTGAGGCAAGCTAATAAAGAAAGAAGGAACTAGCTGGAAACTTTAGATATAGCTTCCATTTGTTGTCCTAGCCTTTGCTTCACAGTCCATGCCCTTCTGTCACTTGTCTCTAGCTTTTCAACATGAAATCTGATGGAGCAAGGAATAGAGTTACAGGATATCAGAGGTCAAAGCAGATGTGTTATAGAACAACATAGAGAGACAAAGAGCAGGAGGAGGTCAGATAATCCCTTGATTTTTTTGGGGGGAGGTCACAACTCATCCCTTTAGAAACTATAATCCAGCCAGCTAAATGCCTCTCATCTGGGCTTTGATAACCCCCTCTCATGTGTGTGTACGCTTGTAGTTGTAAGCTAAGTAAATATTACTCAAGGTATTTCAAAGGCATAGAATATGTGTGCATGTGTGTGTCTCCAGCACTCTTAGCCAGCATAAGAACCAAACCCAGAATCTTCTAATAACACTTGCTATTGAACAACACTTCACTGTATTCCTTGAAATTTAGTTTTGGACTAGTCAAACTAAATAAGTAAACGATAACAGATAATCAGAGTTGGAAGGGACCTTATAGGTCTTCTAGTCTAACCCCCTGCCCAAGCGGGAGACCCTACACCATTTCTGACAAATGGCAGTCCAATCTCTTCTTGAAAGTCTCAAGTGATGGCACTCCCACAGCTTCCGAGGGTAAGCTGTTTCATTGGTTGATTGTTCTCACTGTCAGAAAGTTTCTCCTTATTTCCAGGTTAAATCTCTCCTTGTTCAGTTTCCATCCATTATTCCTTGTCTGGCACTTTAGAAAATAGCCTGACCCCTTCCTCCCTGTGGCAGCCCCTCAAATATTGGAAGACTGCTATCATGCCTCTCCTGGTCCCTCTCTTCACTAGACTAGACAAGTATTTTGAGAATCAACATAACAGTTTTATACAGAAGGCAGAAGAATTAAAACTATAAAAGAACAAGAAAAATGGTTTGTATATCAATACAGGGAAAATAATATAAGCTCTATTCACACCTCATAATAAGATATGGTTTTATTTAGCCATGCTTGGTTAAACAATCTTTAAAGACACCAAAATCAGACCTGTGGATCAATGAAATAATCATGGTTTATTTTGCCAGTTGCACATTTTTAGTTGTCTTGCCTTGCATTATGTACATTAGTTAGAATTCTAAGAGAATTATAAAAACAAACCACAAATTATCCAGGAATCAATAGACAAAATGTATTCTCAATATGATAGTATATATTTGTTTTACTGAGAGATTATTACACGGGTATGTAATATAAACCTGGACAACACTGGGCAGCATATAGAGAGTATGACAGTGGAGACATTAGTTGATGGCAAATGCTCATAGGTAAATATATGGAAAAACATCTTAGCAACGTAAGTTCTATGAACATATTATGTCTGGAATTTCTTTTTTTCTATTAATTTTGTTAATCTGATACATTTCCCCCCCAGTAATTGAGAATAGTTATCAGAATAGTTACATCTAGTTATTGAGAAGCTTACCTGGTCCTATGTTTTGGGGCTTTTAGGAAGATAACAAAAGGTTTTTTACTTTAATTTAAAAGATACATATTCAGTTTCTCATGTAACTTCTGTTTGTATGATTAATCTTATTTTAAATTCTATTACCTTTACTGTATGTAAATTGATTTGAATCCTTCATAAATGAAAGGGGGAAAATCATTTTTAATATTGCTTGAATGTTTCTAGTTTTTATTCTATGTCTCTAATTCACTTAAATGTGCTAGTGAGACAGTTTGGTGTAGTGGCTAATACACCAGGCTAGAAACCAGGACACTGTGAGTTCTAGTCCTACTTTAGGCATAAATGCAGCTGGATGACTTGTGTTAAATTTCTTTCTCTCAGAACTAGAGAGGAGGTGATGGCAAACCACTTCCAAAAATACCAAGAAATCCCAGGAACATATCCGGGCAGTCTCTGAAAATGAAAAAAAAAATCTACCTCAATGAACCTGGATTTTAGGATCCCAGGTGCCTGTGTGCTTTGCCAAAGGCTAAATATAGATCAAACGTAGCTACCTTCTCTGTTTTCATAACGGGAAGGAGTAGGGGACAGGTCACTGCCTTCATGTCCAAGAATGTTATGACTAATTTGATATTTGGAACCTCTGCTAGCGATTAATATACAGTACACAATTTGTAACCTCAGTTTTATTATTGACTTTCAGCTGCTGAACTCATGACCCCAATACTGTACCTAGCCCTGTATTGACTATTCTATGTATTTCTTCCCTTTTTCCTTGGAATAATAAGTACCGTATTTTTCTGTGTATAAGATGCACTTCTACCCCCCCCCCCCAAAAAAAGTGAATGGAAATGTCTGTGCGACTTATACAGTGAATGTTGCTGAAGCCCCACCCACCTGCTGGCCCCCACTCTTCAGCCTCTGCCTCCCAGCAATTTGCTTCCTTGCAGCAAACATCAAACACCTGGTCAGCTTCAACACAGCCTGGTTAGTACAAGCAGCTGATTGTCAGTTGGAATTGCCTCCTGATGATCAGCTATTTCAGGCTGCAGGGATCGCCATCACCTATTGCCACCTCCATGTGCCCCATTTTTGGCCTCTGCATCCTGTTTTCGACTTCCACATGCCCCATTTTTGGTCCATTCTGGTCCATCTAGAATGGGCCAGAAACAGGGCACGCAGAGGCTGAAAATGTGATGTGGAGGCTAAAAATGGGGTACATGGAGGCGGCAATGGGCAATGATGATCCTGCAGCCTGAAACAGCTGATCATTGGGAGGCTGATCCAAACAACAATCAGCTGCTTGTACTAATCAGGCTGGGCTGAAGCTGACCAGGCTGTTTGATGTTTGCTACAGGGGGGCAAATTGCTGGGAGGCAGATTTTTTTCTCTTGTTTTCCTTCCCCAAAGCTAAGTGCATCTTATACTCCAGAGCATTCTATAGTTCAAAAAATACGGTAATTGTCTAACAATGAATTCTGTAGAACTCCAAAGTCTGTACACACAAGTATTTTGATCCTGAAACAGATATTACCATTTTTATATTTTTTATCTTCTGGCAAGTTTTACTAATGAACAGAAATGTAGTCTTTCATCTAAATAGTAAGGAGTCTTTCAATGTGTTAATAAATCAGATTAGAGTACTGCAATTATAATTTTCATAAAATACTTTAATATTTTCTTGCCCTACATGAAACCTTCTTCAGCATTTCGTCTGTATAGCAAACAAGTTGGATGAATTACAGCTGAGGGTGAATGAATAGTTGGGAACAATACTTGATGGATAAATAGACTATACTTCCTTGTATATTAGCTTGTTCTGTCTGGCAGAATATTTAACTGAGAGGCTTTCAGTGGAAAAAAGACTCACATTAAAAACATTCTAAACAGAAACTGAGTGCATGGTATGTATAATCATAGAAAAGTCATATTGTGACATATCTGCTATTACAAATAATCACAAGGCTAGACATTTATTCATTCTAAGCATCCACTGAAAACAAACAAATAAAAGTAATGCAGCTACATTTATCCAGGAACTGACAGTTCCATTACAAAAATATGGATGGACTGGGAAGAAAAGCCCAAAATAGTTTTTTGTTTTAAATAACCAAGTGTAGGTGGTCTGCATACCTTATGCTAAAGTGATTAATGACTGTAAAGTCCATAAAACCAAAATGAACTATTGAAAGAAAACATTTCTAATTTATAAGTCCCAATAGAAGAGAATATATATAGCTCAGAGTTGAACTGTAAAGTCCTTGGTTCTCTCTGAACTTGGTTGTTTCCTGCTAAGGTTTCATTACCCAGCTAGGTAACATCACCAGTGCAATTTGTAAGTTAGTGCAAATCCTGCCTTGAAGTGGTTAAATCAGCCAATAAAGACAACTGGGGATTCTGGGATATGTAGTTCAAGTATAGCTTGAGAATTTCGGTCTAGGAAAGGCTGCCTCACCTTTTTGAAGTTAACGAGCCTCAAAGCTATCTAGAAAATGTAATATATAAAATGAATACAGTATATAGGAGATGAACAAGGAAATGTTAGTATAGGGATTATTTTGAAAAATTGTCCACTAACTATAATAATATGGCTATAATTTTTGTTATTCCATTTTCAATCTGAGCAACATTAAAATGTATAGACTTCAAACCCCAGAATTCTCCAACCAGCATTCTGTTCACTCAGTTGAAATCTACACATCTTAAAGTAGCTGTGGATGAGAAACATTGCTCTAAAATATAAGCATATCATTTTCTAAAGGTAACAAGGCAATTACCTATTAAATTAGGAAACACTTGAAGATTGGAAATGTATACATTGGGGAAAAATGGATGTAATTTGTTCCAAGCCTATAGGATAGGAAAGTTTCTTAATATTTTATTTATTTATTTATTTATTTATTTATTTATTTATTTATTTATTATTACTAATTAATTTATTATTAATGTATTTTTTTATTGTTATTATTATTTATTATTAGACCTGTTGGTTTATCAGTTAACTAATAGTAATTCTTTGCCTTTCCATCCACTTTTATTTATTATCTAGTTTCTTAGTCTAATTTAAGTGTTGCATTTTATTTTAAAATTATTCTCTGGCTTGATAACTTACATGATTATAGAAAACAATTACATAAAGCCATATGATTCGGGACTAGCAACATATCTCATAATGTTGTTTCTGCACTGCATGAGAATATTTGATAGCTTTCTTCTTGTTAGTTTGAAATTCCTCTAGCTTAGAAAAGCAATTGAGTTTCTGGACACAAATTTTGCACTGAAAAGCGTGTAGGCTACACATGGTCCAGTAGCTTTGCAAAGAGAAACTTTCCTTGTAATATGCCACATGTTGAAAAGTACTAACTACAGTGTGAAGCTTGGATCATGAATCTTGTTTTGAACTTTGGTGATAAATTATTACATAAATCACCTCATTAGCTAACCCTTTCACAACAGTTCGGTGGAAGAGCTTTGAGAAAGAATTTTGTTCCTCTCACTCTGCTTGGATCCAGTCTTCAGTATATAATATTTCAAACAAGATTGATGCTCCAAATTCAAAACCTTATTCCCTAGGATTAATGAAGACAAGGAAGATGCCTTCAGCAGAATATCCAGCTATAATGAACTATATAATTCCCTTATCCAGGTTCTGGCTTTGTGATCTCACCACTTCACATTTACCAGGCAGAAGAATTTTTTTTCACAGTACTGTCTTTGAAATAGAAGCAGACTTTGAAAAAAAAAAATCTTTTGGAAATGAGGACATTTCCTGCCTAGTGGTTCATGGGGAATGAGGAATGCCTGTGTAGCTGACACCAAGTTTATTTGTCCCATTGTAAAAGTCTAGTCATTCAATAAAAGGAAAAAGGGGGTGGAGTGCATTTCTTTTTTCACCATTTACATTCTATTAGAGAACAGTTACTTGGTAAATCTGTTCTTCATTATCATTCTTCCTTCTCTCCCACTCTCTTCTCAGGATAAACTCTGAAATATCCCTTCCATCCTCGGCTAAGGTTTCAACAGAAGTACCAAAAGCTTAAAATATTTAAGACTTTATATGTAGCAGAAATACAACCAGGAATTGAACATGAGCAAACTGACCACAACTCCAAGGGCTCCAAACCATTACTGACCTAAACACCCTCAGTACTCCATCAATAGATACTTTGGTGATGAAAACAATTGATGGGCTTCATTGTTTCAAAGCTCATTGAAGACCAGAATGATAGCAGAGCTGTTCATAAAATTCTTCAAGATTAACCAATACAGAATGTAACATCTACGAACTTTTATAAACAATTTGACCTTAGTGGCGGCATGCTATCAGTATAGCTCTGCTTTCCCATCCTCTTAAACCTTGCCTCTTTAGGCATCATTAATTCCCTCCAAAATTTAAACAACTGTCATGTGTGATACTCTTCAGGTGTACATGTGGGAAAGATTTATAGCATTACAAAATAATCTGCTCCTAAAAAGCCTACCCACGTGGAGTCTTTTTTAGAACCAGTGACTTGAAAATCTCCCAAAGATAATTGGAGGTCCCTGGAACCATGCAAATGAGTTAGTTATCTGTAATGAGTGCTGGGTTTCCTTAATCTGGCCAGCTGGCTTTTAAAACTTCCGAAAGATGTGGAGCTTCCCAAGAATTGCAAATACTGCTTTAGCATCAATATTCCAGCTTCTGCTTAGCCTCATTTGATTACATTGTCAATATTTTACATCAGCCATTTACACTTGTTTTCTACTGATACATGTTGAACGTTTCTAGCATACTAATAAAAAAATGAAATATCACCAGAGATGGTATTTAACAGTTTTGGAGATGTATTAAACAGTTTTCATTATATTTATATATTTTTTCACTTGTGACTTCCAGTGAAATGGCTTTTAAAATATGTATCCTAGAAATTTAAAATGGGTTACACATTCTTTGTCAATAATGTGCCAATGATTCCTTTCTGTTCATCTGTTTGGAGAAGTTTGGATTAGACTGGCCACATTGTAGGCCTTATTGTGATGGCGAACCTATGGCATGGGTGCCGGAAGTGGTGCGCAGAGCCATTTCTGCCAGCACACGAGCTGTCGCCTAGAATAGGTCCATTGTGCAAGCGTGCAAGCACCCCACCCTCCAGCTGATTGTTGTGTATCTGCCACACATGCACAGGTGGGAGACACATACATGGGAGACGCGTGTGCATGCACAATGGATCTGTTCTGGAACATGACAACGAAAAGATTAACTAACACTGGTATAGGCCATATGTTTGCAACCCCAATGTTGTTCCATACTTCCTAATATCTGATATGGAAGAAAGGTCAGGAAGTTGAATGGGCACAAACTAAATCAAATTTTGGCTTTGCACAAGAAATTATTAGAATGTGAAACTAAGCATCATCTACTGGCTCTTTATACAATGGCCAAAGTCTAGGGCTGTTTGTAACTATAGATACAAACCTCCAACTAGCACAACTGGATAAGTTCTGATGGCTCAGCTGTTAAAGATGTTGAGCTTGGCAGCTGAAGACCCGAGTGCTGCACAATGGGGAAAGCTCCCATTACTTGCCCCAGCTCCTGCCCACCTAGCAGTTTGAAAGCATGCAAATGTGAGTAAATAAATAGATATCACTTTGGTAGGAAGGTAACAGCATTTTATGTATCTTGGCATACAGTCAATCTGGCAACATGACCATGGAAATGTCTTCAGACAACACTGGCACCCTTGGCTAAAAAATGGAAATGAGCACCACTCCCTACTGTTGGAAACAACTGGACAGGATAAACATTTATGTTCTGACCAAGGCTTCCTGAGGCAGTAACAATCACACGCTGTTCCCAAAACCCTTTGTTTTTATTTCAATGGCTGTGAATTATATGCATTTACAGCCTGTAATGAGTCCCAAACAATTTATGAATAGTCCAACAAAAGTCTGCCACAGTCTTTCGGGATAAGGCTAATAAGCACCCACCTTTATCTCCCTTGAAATGCTGCCAATAACTAAATTGCCAATTAGCTGTACAAAGCCAAATGGAGCATAAAGTCAACACAGAGCTTCAGAGTTTAAATTGACCAGGATGAACAAAGTTGCTTCTTGCAAAGGCTCATGTCCCTTTGCACCTCCTTTATGTCTTATGGGAGGGGCCAATATTCTGCAAGCCTTACTCCCGAGTCACCCCTTTTGTTTCCACTGTTCTTGCCTTCTGGCAGTTCTGTGCAAGTGCACACTGGGAACCGGCTCCCCCTGTTCCTCTGCCTCACTGATGTCAGATTTTGGAGGCTCCACATAACTCTCAGATGGCCCTGGCTCCATCTCTGTGTTGGATGCAGATCCCTCATCTGAGCCCTCCCCAGACTCCAGGACTGGCCCATGTTCCTCCCCACTGTCTGACTCTGCTGCCAGCTCCGCAGGCCACCAGTGGACCACATTATCTTTTTTTATATAAATATTTAATATGCATGTTAAAAGGGCAGTGCTTCAATCATTAGGTTATGTCCCATTTTTAAGGGACACTTAAACATCACTGTTTAAGTGTCACATCACTGCAGATGCCTTTACCAGAATCCTTGGTGTAACAGTGACAACTTAGTTTATTTAGAATGAATAATTGTATAAATTAGTTGAAGCCTTTAATTGATCTCTACTAGAAAGTGTTACTTGTCATTCACTTCTTGCTATTCTTCCTTATTATATAAGGTATTGTGGTGGTTCTCAACCTGTGGTCTGTGGAGTCCTGGATAGTTGTGATGTTGTCATAGGGGGTCTGTGAAGGCTTGAAGAAATATTATGTTTAATTCTGAGTTAAGTCTTAGTGGTCCATGGTGATGGTCTGTGGCCATAAAAGGTATTTAAAGAAATTTCATGGTGAAGAAAAGGTTGAGATATTTAGTTTTCCTTTTTCCATTCATTCATTTGGATCACATTTCAATTTTGCTCATTGTTATTTTAAGTCTGCAACTTTTGAAAATGGAACATCCCGACTTCCGGTGGTGGCCTGTGGTCGAAGCAGCACGGAGTGACAGCACTCTGCCCCTAACTGCCGAGTTTCAGCGATCCGGTGGCCGTCCGAGGTGAAATCGGCCCTGGGGGGATCGGTGAAGGAGAGGGGAACCTTCAGAGCTGAAGCGGGAAGGTGCGATCCCTAGCAGCACATTCAGAGGCGCCTTCAAAGCTGGAGCTGAAGAG